CCTTTGAATAATTGCTCCTACATAATTCCTTTCCCTGTAGGTCTGGGTATCCTGTTACATATACTCCAAGTCTATAGAAATTCACCAAGACAAAAACAGAAGAGCAGGAAATCTGACACACACTCCTGCCAGCCTTAACTCACAGTCTTTTGCAGATGAAGGACAAAGAATTGATTCTGCTGCTGCTGGCTCCTTGGGCCACCGAAGTGAGCAAACACAAATGCAGAGTGTATGCCTGCCCCTCTGCCCCTCACCAGGCAGCTGTGTGTCTCTGACACAGAACCTCCTGGAATCATGGTGAGTCAGGGCCTCCACTTCCCCTTCCTGCAGTGCAGCCTGGCTTCTGCCTACCACCCTCTAAAGAAACTGCTCCTCCAAAGGGCACCACCACCTTCACCAGCCATATCCCAAGGCCTCCCCTCCACTCTCCTCCTGCTAGAACTCTGCAGAATCTGCACATTTCTCTTGGAAGAACTTGACCTCCGATTTTGCACTGCTTCCTGACTCACCTCTTCCTTCACTTACTATTTTTAAGGTAGATATCTGGCCTTCCTCTTTTATCTCCCTAAATGATTTCTTTTACTATCTGCTGACACCTATAGTTCTGACCTCTTTCCTTAAACCCAACTTCTTCAACAATTTACAGGCAATCTTCACTTAGATAATCTGCAGAGACTTGTTTAAAATCAAGTTCATTACTTCCTTCCCCAAATTAATTCTTCCTGTGTTACTCCAATAACTGATACTATCTCCTCCAAGGATCAGACTCCTTACTTTCCTCACTCTCACAAAAGGTTTCTGGAGTGTTTTTCCTTACCTATTCCACTACCACTGTCCTTGGCCAGCACCTTCCTGTCTTCCCCTTAAAACATGGAGAGCTTGCGAACAGTCACCCTTTCTTCCCTCTCTGGTTAACTCTTAATTGCCACTAGAGTTAATTTTCTAAAACACAGGAAATGATCAGGTGTCTCTCCTATCCACACTCCTTTCCTGGTGCCTGCAGGGTGAAGAGCACTCTTCTTTAGCATAACATTTAAGACTGTCATCTGGCCTCACCCACCCCTAAGCCTTGTCCTTACACAATGCCACTATAGTCTCACCAAACAAATCAAGTTCTCCAAAAATGCTCCATACATCACTGCAAAGAAAGACCTCTAGTATAGTTCTTTGAAAGATGCGTCCTTCAACTTAAATTGCCATTTTTTCCATGAAAACTTATCTCACCACCTTATAGTAGAACTTATCTCACCATTTCCTCCCTGAGGTGAACCTCAAAACTTTACTCATACCCTGAGCTATCCTACTTTTGATCAGCTATCTAAATGTGTTCCTACCATACTGAATTGTAGTTGCTTTTCATCTTTGTATCCTCAAGTCTGGGCAAAAAGTAGAAGAAATGTCTGCTGAACGAATGAATGAGTCAACAGTCTTTCTACAACTAAAGTTAATAGCTAATCACTCATCTTTTAACTCCTTTTAATGCCTCAGCAGAAATAAAGTTGAAATTATACCTGGATACAATGGGAAAATACAACTTTCTTGGACACAAATTTTTGGGAAATATACCTATTTTATAATTTTTACCATTTACTATTAATGGAGAACTCTGCCCATTTGTTAGCATATAGTCATTTCTTGGTCAATGTTATTTCAAGTATCTACCCGAAGGATACAGAATCCTTTGATTCTAATCTATAACAATGTTAAGACATGTGTGATAAAAAATGGTCATATTGACATGAACAGAGTATCATGAATTTAATATATATATAATGAATACAAGAAAGTCTAATGTTCAACAAATAACATTTCTTGCTATATATATATATATATATATATATATATTGTTGTTGTTAATCTTCAATCGAGGATATTTTTTCTATTGATTTTTGAGAGAGAGTGGAAGGTAGAGTGGAGTGCAAGGGAGAGAGAGAGAGAGAGAGAGAGAGAGAGAGAGAGAGATAGCAAACAACATCAATGTGAGAGATACACTAATTGGTTGCCTCTTGTGTGCGCCCTGACTGGGGTAGGGGATGGAACATGCCTTTGACTGGGAATAGACCCACTGAGCAACACCAGCAGGCACTGCTATATTTAATAAATATTTAACCCATACTGGGCAAAACTAAAAGTTCATTTAGCAAAAAAGAATGTTCATTTACTGTATCTAGTAACAAAATTTCAACTCACTGCAGTATACCCACATTTTCTAGAAGCACAAAGCTGAATTTCCTCTGATTACTCTTCAGTAAAAGTCAATATCTGGGAGTCAAGTGACAAGACTGAGTGGGTGCTCCATCCTTTCATGCCATGGTATTTTTTTTAGACTACTTCTCTGCCACTGAAATATGTATTCAACCCCCCAATTTTTACAGGTTGTTTCTGAAATGATCAATATTATAAAGTTTAAGGTGTTAAGGCTGTATTATTAAACTCCTAACATTCGACAAGAATATCTTAGTTCATAACCAGTGGATGTTTGCAAAAAAAGTAAAATTGGTTACACATTTTATCTTTAATTTCCCCATGCAAGCGCACCCAGAATTTTCAGTCCAAGGTTTTCAGTATAGAGAAAATGCTGTTTCACTGTACCCTACACCAAGTTACTTTCATATATGTGTATATAATGTGTGTGTGTGTGTGTGTGTGTGTGTATATATATATATATATATATATATATACATACATAAATACTTGTTCAGATTTTATAGTAATAAAGTGGATCCATGAACAAATTTTTAATGAATGCCTGCTACATAGGCAAGGCACTATGCTGGTACAAGTGAAATACCCATTGCTATAACATATTGATGTAGACAAATTATTCGAAGCCAATGTACAAGTTGTAACAGTAGCATAATTTTTGAGGCAAAGATTTATAAATCTGTAATTTTCTTTTCCCACTCAAATTTTTGAAAGTGTACTCACTCCTTCACAATAATATTATAATTAAAGGGTAAATGATAAATGTAACCAATGAACTCTGTCCTCAAGTAAAAGGTCTTACTACTCATTTTGTGAAGATTTCCCATAAAATAATATAACACCACCCCAAACTCAGACCGTTAAGCATGGGTATTATACACTTACAAACAGGTAGGTAGGTATTTGGTGAGCATCATACACCCCTCTGTCTCCTTTCTTCTCTTCACTTTGAGTCAATTTATGCAATGATGTTTTCTTCCTAACAGTCTATTGTCTCTATACTGTATTTTCTAAACCTTGGGATACAGCTTCAAAATTTATGAAATCTGCTAAAAAGGCACATAAAGAAAAATAAATTACCAACCACTTGATAAAGGGATGTAACTAAAACACCAAGAGCAGCAAACACCATTCCAAGGAAATTAAACTTCACATCGTAATAAGAATTTAGGATTACACCTAAAGTTATAGGAATCTGTAAAGAAAAAGAGGTAAATGTTGTTCAGATTAAATTCAAGAGTATTCCTTTCATGGTGTCTTACAAAGTTAATAAAAAAATAAATTTAAAAAAACCACTGCGAAATAACGAACCTCTATAATTTTTCTCCTTTTCTATTTGAAAATACTGACTGTCAATCTTGTTTTCTCAAAATTAAATATGATAGTTCTCCATATGTTCACATTTAATTCTATTTAAACTTTTGGGTAAAATAATGAGTCAATGCATTGCACTTTGCAAGAAATAAATACCACATGATATGGGCATAAGAGTAAAAGAACTCCAAAACTAGTGTCGAAACAACATATAAACATACAACAAAAGCATTTGGACCTTTAATATTGTAAATTATTAAGTGCTAAAATTATTTTAGTCCATTTCCTTATATTTATAGATGCAGAAATCTCTGCAGAATGTCTGTCGCTACTGACATAGTCTGAGGCATATTTTATGCTAAACCTTTAATGTTCATTATATATGGTTTGGTTCTACTGAGGGAGGTGAGCTGTTTTCGGTTTGGCAGATATCTGATTCACTGAATTAGACTACCCAATACAGCTTTTTTTTTTTTTTTCTTGCTTTTTTCCCCCAATTACATCATTTAAGGCTATCTAACAAACAGTACTTATTAAAACACACAAGCACAACTTCTGGGCTAAGGGCCCAATGAAGTGCCAAGATGGCTTTTTTCCATCTCCCAAATAAGCCTTAAATTTACATGCTCACAGATGACACATGCGTGGATTTCAAGATGATGGGAAAGAGCGTGGCGCAAGGTTAAATATTCAAATTTCCCGGTGAAAAAGACGGTCCAGGAGGTGGGTTGTTAGAGGTGCGCCTTGCGAAGCTGAAGCTACTCACCAGCGTGAGTTGTATTTTGGTAGAAAAGGTTTTCTTGTAGCAGAGGGTCTGGATAACTATGATCACCGGCGTGGTCATGGCCTTGGCCAGCTGATAGGTGCCTATGGTGTTGTTCTGCAGAGAAAGGTTAGTGAAAACAACGAAGCCACAGAAGCTGAGGGCCAGGAGGAGGAGCTTGGAAGGCGGCAGACTTTTAGGGGCAAAGATGTTCAGCTTCTGGCAGAGGTACAAACCCAGCCAGGTGACCACAAAGTGCACCAGGGTCAGGCTCATGTTGGGGAAGCCGTGGTGCACATAGATCCATTTGTTGAGGAACACGATGCAGATGGACACCAGCAGGTTGAGCAGGAGCCCGGCGGCAATGCGCCCCTTGCCCCGCACTCGGTCCGCCAGCCAAGCCATGACCCCCCCGAAGCCGGGGCCCTTCAGCTTCCGACAGGGACGCCCGGCCTGCCTCCCGCGGCCGTTGCCCTCCTCCTCCGCTGCCGTGTTCTCGCAGACGCTGGCTTCAGCTCCTGGCGGGGGAGAGGGTCCCAGGCGCGCAACAGCGGAGTACACATGCTCTGCCACCGCCCACTGAGCCCGCGACAACGCGGCAGCACGTCCCGCGCGCCCCGCCCCCTGACACGTGACTCGGGCGCCTGTGACTCCGTCCCCAACTGCTCGCTGAGCAGCCTCCACCCTGCGCAGGCGCGATGGGCTCTAGGTGCGGAAACACTGTTGCTCAATTGACCGCATGAGACAGGTGCTGAGTGAGCAACTTCAGCCTTCCAAACAGGCAGAAGAGTAGACAGTGTTACGAACCTTCATATACTCACCATGGTTAGTAAAACTGTTAGGATTTGCTTCTTTTTGTATCAATGTTTGGCCTTTTATGGTTCTAGAAAAGTGTCCATTTTACTTAAATGTTCTAATACACTTGGTTAGAGTTGTATATAGTCTTCCATCATATTTTAAATTTATTTCATCGGCTGTATCACTTTACTCACTCTAAACATGCGTTTGGGCTTTCTTTGTTCCTTGATTAGCTTTGCCAGCAATTTGTCTATTTTATGGGCCTTTTCAATGATTACTTCTATTGACTTTGTTTCAAGTCATTACTTTCTTCATTCCAACCACCCCCCCCCCCAATCTCTCGAATAGAATGCACGGTTTGTTCAGTCCTCAGGACAATGTAATATTGTCATTGTCCTTAATTCTTAAGTAGTCTGATTGAGAGTTTTAATTTCCTCTTTGATGTAAGAATTATTCAAATATTGAGCACCTGCTTTGTGCCAGGCACTATATTTGGCACTTGGGAGGTAATGAAGAGTAAACCAATCCACACCCTCTCTCATAGAGCTTAGTGAGAGAAGCCTGATACTAAACAATTATAAACCATAACAAATGTTCTTAAGTAACAAAATATAATCCTATGAATGTATAAGAGAATCTGATCTAAGCTTGGGGAGGCAGAGCTGGTCAGGGGCTTCCTCAAGAAGTGATTCAAACTAACATTTGAGAATGAATGTAAGTTAATTAGGCAAAGTCTAAAGTCTAGTTTTCCTAACATGGTCTTTTTGATACACTTTTCTTCCTATCATGCCATCAAACTCTACCACTGTACTCTACTGTGTGCCTTTCCCTTTGTAGATTTATGTTGCCACCCTCCCTTACAGTTTGGCTCTACAGACCCCTACCTGATCAAGGATTTATGTTTACCCTCACCTGCTTCCCAATTAAGAGCTTAGGCTTTAATTAGCCTATCTTCATTGTCTCCTTGTGATTATAGATTTGGACTGATAATCTTAGCATAGATTATGTTACATTTTATCATTCCTCTTGCTCTCTTATATTTGAAAATAGTTAAGCTATGAACTCAAATTTGGGTTAAAAGTTAAAAATACCCAGTTAACCCACTTTGACATATTCAACATGTCCATGACCTCACACCCCAAATAAATGTTGGTTTTTAAGATCCAGTGTGTTTCCCAGCAAAGTCCTCCATGTCTGCCTAGCCAGCGTGTTTTACTCAGTTGGTTGAGCATTGCCTCATCCACCAAGAGGTCACTGGTTCAATTCCCATCAGGGCACATGCCCAGGTTGCAGGCTTGATTCCCAGTAGGAGGTAAGCAGGAGGCAGCCGATAGATGTTTCTCTCTCACCAATATTTCTCTCTCTCTCCCTCTCTAAAATCAATAAGTATATTTTTTTAAAAGTTAAAAATGTTATTCTATAAGAACTTCTATAATTGTACATATGCCTTTGATGTATTTTCCCCTGTAGTCAATGTGGCATATTTGTTGATTCATAAACATGCAGTACCATTTCTCAGCCTTGCTCATACTGACTTCCTACTTTGTGGTGCCTCGCCCTTCTTGTGCTTTACCTCTGCCTTTGCAAATGTAATGCATTACTCAAACCTAGCCCAAATGCTACTTCCTCAGAGACCTTTTAGCTGGAAATGGTTTCTTCCTGCTCAGATTGCTTGTATTTTCTAATGGCATTTACAATATATATTTATTGTATTTCCCCTTCTAGAAGGGCTGGCTGGATTGGGCTTTATTCATTTTGTATTTCTCCAGTTATTCAGAGTTTACTGTGTGCCAGATCCCACACTAGAGCTTTACATGCTCCATTTTAGGTTTGTTGAACGTGAGTAAATAAACTAGAAATATCTTCAAAATAAAAAAAACCCCAATAGCTTAATATTATTTTAGAAAACACTCTTCCTATATTCATCTTCATAAGCTGTAATATTTAAAAACACTAAATTTTATGATGAGAAATTACATACCTAGCCTAAATCTATTTGTCATCCTCTTCATAATTTTAAGATACCAGAGCACTTATGATTATAGGGAAAAAATAGGGTAACAGAGATCTTAATTTCTTATTACAGAACAGAAACAATCCTGGAATTTGTAAGAAAAAAATTTTTAATTTTTAAATAATTTTATTAATAAACACAGGGTAATATTGATATAATACACTAAAATTCCAGTGTCACCATAATATTCTGAAAAGTACAAAATTCAAGTGTCTAAATTTTAAAAACACTTCTCCCCACAATAATGCAAAAGAAAAAACCCAGTAATTACAAATATGTGTATTTTACAAAAAAACTCCATTTATCATGGAAATTAGTGAGATTACAAAGAGTAGATGAATTATGACTGAATTTCATATCCTAATGGATCAAGTCCCTGGTCTAGGAGCATCAGAGAGGATTCTCGTAACTTCTGTAGCAATTTCCTTAGTTCTTCTTTAGAAAATACCTGATTTTCAAAAAAAAAAAAAAAGAAAAACATTAAGAATAAGAACAAAGAAGAGTAAGAACATATAGTCACCTAATCAACCTGATTAGCTTAATACAAGAAGAAATTCCTTTTAATATTTATGTAGCTAGAGGTCAGTATGATAGCATGGTTAGGAACGTCAAAGCTATTTCTCTGAGCCAGTGTATGTACTTCTAACTGCATGGGAATGTACACATATTTTGAAAGAGAAAAAAAAAGCACAATCATTGACACAGGACTATTACTTTAAGCAAATCTAAGTATAGCTTACCAAATCACTAAAATTTAAATTGCAAATGCTCTAGAACTTACCAGATAAAGTTTGTGGCGCTCAGAGGAAACCATATCTGCTAACTGCAGGCATTCCTGATATTGACCAGTACTATGCAATATGGTGTGAAGTAGAAAACACAACATTGGCAGACAAAGCTTTCTCAGTAAAACCATTTGATGTGTTCTTTCATGGTCTTCTTCAGCATCCTACAGACAGACATCAAGTGGTCATCAAGTTGTTAAAATGACTACCTTTCAAATATCCTTTCCAGATCTCTTCCAGGTAGAAGCAACCTTTTTATTTCCTGAACTCATAGAATATTTAACTTGTGCATTTCTTATGGCATTTAGTACTTCTGTAAATGGTTCTCAACCCAGCCTACACATTAAAGCTCTCTAAGCAATTAAAAAAAATAAAAATAAAAGCCCAGACCTATCTTAGACTAATTAAACTTAAAACTCTGGGGGTAGAACCCAGTATTTTTAAAACAAATATGTTTTCATTGATTTTTTTAGAGAGGAAGAGAGAGAGACATCAATTGGCTGCCTCCTGCACATCCTCCAGTTGGAATCGAGCCTACATCCTGGGCATGTGCCCTGACTGGAAACTGAATTGGAGACCTTTCAGTGCATGGGACGATGCTCAATCAACTGAGCCATACCAGCCAGAGCTGAACCCAGTATTTTTTAACAGCTTCCCAGGTCATTTAAATGGACAGCTTAGAGGTGAGAGCCACTCCTTTATATATGTCTTACTCATACTACTAAGACTTATCTTCGTATCTCTAACCTGAGTTAAATACATGTATACTTAAATAGTTGTCCTGATACGCCAAGGTTTCAGGTTCGATCCCCAGTCAGGGCACATACAAGAATCAACCAATGAATGTACAAGTAAGTGGAACAACAAATCGATGTTTCTTACTCTCACTCACTTCCTCTCTTGAAAATCAATACGTTTTTTAAAAAAGTTAGGTCCAGAATTTTAAAAAATTAGATTTTAGTATCCTGAATGAACATATTAAATCTGAAAAAATAGCTTCCCCAACTATTCCCATTCCCTAGCTAGAATTTTTAGTTTAGGCTTAAATTATGGGACATTCAGTTATTAGTACAAAGGTTATATAAGAACCTATAGATGCTCCTCTTCAGAGATAAAACCTAAAAAAGAAGAAAGACTTTTGTGTTTTGCTTTTAGCTGTAAACAAATACACACAGCTTACCTCTCTAACATCCACCATCCAGCCTCCATCAACAAACAATAAGACATTATACATTTTCTCTTTCACATCAGCAGTTAGGGCATCCAAATGCCCTTTCCAAATACCATAATCCATCTGCAAAACAAACAAAAAGCAGATACGTCATGGATGAAAACAACTAGAATAATGTATTTGTAAAGTACAGACAGGAATATAGATATGGAACATCATTCTAAATTATGCAGCACACCAAAAAATCTATTTTTTGCCAATCTGACAAAAATAAGTATAATTTTAATTGATTTATTTTTTTTTAAAAAAGGGTAATTACCTACCCTTTTTGCTCCAAAGTGATATTTTTAAAAAATCAGGTGCCTATACTTGTATATAAGGATTTTCTGGTACCAAGAATTAACCAATCAGATGCACCCTGTTATGTGACTTGATTAATAAGATGCAATTCTATTATATGACTTATACACTTATGGTTCAAGATAGGGTATTCACACCAGATGACTATTGTTGTGTTGGCTGTTGTCATTTTTTTTATTGGACAATCTAAGGGAAAAGAGGTCTGTGATCCTGACTAAATACTAAATAGTCAGGTATTACAGGTTTAAAAATTCTTGCACTACACCAGTTGAAAATTGCTATTTTAAGTATTTTTATTTTAATTATTCCAGTTTAATGCTTCCTCCTGTTGATAGTCTTTTTAAAGTGTTGACATTCAGTTAGCCAAATATAAAAATAAACATTAACTGATTGTAGTTAAACAAAACACTAAAATAATAGCTTTGTAAATGAACACTACTGTCATCTGAAGGTATGATTCAGGTCTGGTTAATTATCCATAGAAAAATAACTAAACAGAAGGCTGTTTTTTTTTCAAAGTAGAATATTAACAGCAAAATCACCTGTTATAATAGGTATATAGTTGCTGAAAAATGAACTCTTTAAATATATGACACGTATTGTTAAGATGCAATATACAGGTTTCATCTGTATTCAACTTACTTCGTATTTCTTTTCTTTATGTTCATGAGCCACTTTCTCAGTAAAAGTTGGTTGA